TCTCTCTCTCTCTCTCTCTCTCTCTCTCTCTCTCTCTCTCTCTCTCTCTTTCTCTTTCTCTTTGTAGACACACATTTTTGAAAATAGCCAGAGAACTGTCTCTGATATTTTACTAATGCTATGTATCTGCCTGCCTCACCATTTAACAAGCCATTCAAAAGCAAGCACTGTTTCATACTTCTCTAGACATCCTACTGTAAACACAGTATCCAGGACAAAGCAGATGTTGATTAATGCTTTCTGACCAAACTGTTGAAATCCCATTAATATCCCTATTATATGCCTTTCCCACAAAATGTTCTGAAGACTTACAATTGAAAGGAGTAAGGTGATCCATCTATCCATAGCCAGGCCTTGCCACTCCCATTGCGGGACAGTCCTGTCCAATAAGAGTAGAAAAACTGAGAGTAGCTCTGAGGCATGGCAAACTCCTGTGAAAGACACAAGAAACCCTTTAACATTAAGGGTGTTGCGACATGTCCATGCAGAGATATGCAGGGCCAGAGTGGTTCTCATAGGAGAACAACATGAGTCCTACCTCCTGAAGGTGATCCTCCCATAGATAGTAGTAGACTTAAGAATTAAAAAAAAAAAAATGTTATGAGGTCCTTAGGAAATTTGTGAAGTATGGAATTGACACATTGATATATAGGATATTTTGTCTTAGCAAATATGGAATACATTCTGATTTTCTATAACCAAGAATCACATCAACTAAGATTTAAAAGTGACCCATTACTTTTAAGATACAAGAGTAAGTACTAAGATTGGTATAAAAATGCAGGAGGAGCATTTATAAAGACATGTGAAATGATTCTAGAAAATGGAAGAATTTAGAAGGAAAAGTATAGGAATGAGGAAGTAACCTTTCCAAACATCTAGGAAACAAATGGTAATAAGGAGACAATTATGAACCTACTCTCAATGAAAAACAAATAAAAGAAGGATTCAGACTATGTATCAAAGTGGGAAGAGGAAGAAGAGTAATTTCAAAATTTCCATAACACACACACAGAGTAACATACATGACAATTCCTCTTCTATTGAAATTTGAATGTTATTTACTCTCTTCTATCACTCTTATGCTATACCCTTAATATTTTAACATAGAAATTACCTGTATTTATTACATTTCCATTTTTATATCCTTTCTTTCTACTATACTATGAGCTTTATAAAGGGCAATGCTTTGTCTTAGCAATCATTATCTCAAGTCTTTGAATAATCATTTTTACATGTGAATTCAACAAGGGTTTATTGGAAAGAAAGTGAGGGTATCACAAAACAATAAACATGTGAAAAGAGCTGTGTTTAAAAATATTGTTTGCAAATAAATAGAATTCTTTTCAAATTAAAAACTCTGAAAATAAATCATATGAAAGTGATACATAGAAATGTAAGAAATAGATAACAGAAATAACTACATAGGCTTTCACAACAAAATTTCCTACCAGTACTTATAATTCAATTATATACCTGAGTCTTCAGTATGGACTGGGGGCAGTGAAACCAAAGAGAATAAGAAAAATTAAGAGGATTCAGGCCTATATACATTGTATTAGTAAAACAATTTGCCCTGCTTTATGCATAAATTGAGCAAAAAGAAAGGATAAAAACCTTATTTTGGTAGTGATAAGTATTATAAAGATTCATTTCCATAGATTTTAAGGAGTGGGTAGAAACTAACATGTAACTACAAGGATGCTAAGAAACTGTAGAGGGATCTGATCACTTAATTATTGATAATCAGCTCTGCACCAGACCTCAGCTAAATTCTAGAGAAACAATGTAAGTAATAATAACACTGATGGAGGAATTCAATTCAGGAGCAATAATGAACATTAGGGAAAGGGAAATAACTGCACTATTTTAATAGTGTACTTTAATTGCATGTACTAACCCAATGTGCACCCACTTACAGATTTATTCCCATATTTGCCTTGGCCAGTCTTCTGGAAGGCAACGTATTATTTGCAGATTATGGTAATGATTTAATTGAATATTTTTTCATTTAAAACTTCGTCACTCATAATGGAAGGGCATGCAGTGTTGTTATCATTTTTCTGATATTGCATCAATATTTTTCCCTTCCTACCAAACTGAAAGAGGTAAGACAAGACATTCTGCATTTGATCCCTGATTAAAATGGCAGCTATTTCTTGTATTTATATGGGGGAAGTAAATTGATAAAGAACACGGAATCATGAAAAGCAATAGAGATAAGACTTAGGCCTTGCTTGAAGTAAGTGGGAAAATTGTGGACCAATATTCCTACCTCCTTAGAATTTTTTGTCTTAATCTTTTAAGGCTTCTTCCTGAGAATCCTTCAAATATTGAGAAGCCTCAGAACCTTACCAGCACTTCCTGTGTGTTTATCCTCAGCATGGTGGAGTTCTCAGCAATGCAGAAATATTCACAGCCTTGCCAGCTTTTGCTTTCTTTATAGAATTGGTAACATTTGTCCCCATGCCACTTCCATTTTTCTGGACAAGGGCTGCACTTATGTCCTTGGGGAAAAAATTTATAAGTTATTTTCTACCTGGTCTGTTGTTTCTTTTCATAAAATGATATAGTATTTGATGTCTCAAGAAAGAATTGATTCCTTTTTTCTCTTAGATATTTAATTCTCTAGGCAATGATAAATATAAATTATACCAAACACCTCCTGCAGGCAGGAATTATAGTTGGTGCTGAGTATACAGTAGAAATTAAAAAGAGACACTGTAGTGAAACCTAGCAATAAATGATTGGAACTTCCTTGTCTTTTGCTACACAATTCAGTCCTGGAGAGAATATTCAATTTCATAAGGCTGTTCTTATGTTTAGAAACTCAAAATGAATTTTATTCAAGAAAGGTAGAATCTATAATTATCTTTCTTAAAATATCTTATTTAATAGTAAAGGGATTTTTTTACATTACAACATAAACCATTATGAGACGATTTCTTTTCTCACTCTAAACAAAAATAAAATTTTAGAAAAAAATACTTGAGACAAACATGAAGTTAATTTAAATGTGTCAGAAAACATGATAGGCATTCAAGCCAGAGAAGTACATGCACAGGTTGAGGGTAAGATGGACCACACAGGTTCTGGTTGCATACATGGGAGTTAGCTCCTGAGAGTCATGGTTTTAGGTCTACAAAGATACCTGGCCTTCAGTCTTTGAGAAGCAGATTCTGCAACAGAATCTCTTGTGGATGTGTGTTGTGGTAGGAAATTTAATCATCTCCATAATGGTTTCAGTATATTAAAAAATTAGTGTCAAACTGTTAACATGCCTAAATCTGAATAGTCAAATGGAATAAAATTAAAAATCCAGTCATTAGACCACGTGCCTATAGTCAACTGATTTTTTTTTTTTTAACGAAGATGTCAAAAACATATATTGGAGAGAGGACAGTCTCTTCAGTAAACGGTGCTGGGAAAACTAGAATACATTTGCAAAAGGATGAAACCAGACCTGTATTTCTTACCATGCACAAAAATTGACTCAAAATAGATCAAAGACATGAATATAAAAACAAAAACTAACTGTCCTAGAAGAAAATACAGGGGAAACAGTACACAACCTTAGTGTAGGCAATGAGCATGAACCCAAAAGCACAAGCAACAAATGTAAAAATAGACAAATGGGATGTAAGTGGCTTCTGCATAGCAAACAAACAACCAAGTGAAGAAACAACACTCATAATGGAATAAGATGTTTGCAACCTATTCATTAGACAAAAAAAATATGAGAAACTCAACACCAACCAAGTAGACAAATAATACAATTTTAAAAGGGCAAGTGATATAAATAGATACTTTTCAAAAAAGACATACAAATGGTCAAAAAGTATATGAAAAATGCCCATTATCACTAATCATCAGAGACATGTAAATCAAAACCACAATGAGATATCGTTTTACCCTACTTAGTTAGAATGCTATTATCCAAAATATAAAAAAAGTAATAAATAACAGAGAAAGATACAAAGAAAAGGGAACTCATACATAGTTGATGAAAATGAAAAGTAGTATGGCCACTATGGAAAACAGTGTGGAAAATCCTCAAAAACCTAAAAATAGGGCTAACATATAATCTAGTAATCACACTCCTGAGCATAAACCTAAAGGAAATCAAATCATGATATTAAAGAGTTATCTGCACTCCCATGTTTATGAAGCATAATTCACAATAGTCAAGAAATGGAATCAAGTCAAGAGTCAGTCCCTGAAGAGATAAATGGGTGAAGAAAATGAAATATGTTCATGCAATGGATATTATTCAGCCATAAAAAAACAATGAAATCCTGTCATGTGTATCACAGTGTAAAGAAATGGAAGACATCATGTTAAGTGAAATAAACCAGGCACAAGAAGACAAATACAGTATGTTCTCACTCATTTATGGAAACTAAAAAAATGGTCTCTTAGAAGAATTGAGTGGAATGGTGTCACTGTACACTGGGCAAGAGAAGAGGCAGGAGGAAGGCTAGAAGTTAGATAAAGAATACAAAAACACAGTTAAAGAGAAAAAAATGTTTCTGGTATTCTAATAGCTTTAGGTAATCTACAACAATCTGTGATATATTTCAAAACAAGTTGAAGAGTATGAAGTTTCCAAATACATAGGAAATAATTAATATTTGCAGAGATGATGATGCTAATTACCCTCACTAGATCATTACTGTACACATATTTGTTTTAACTGTGATCATTGCTATTAGGGGTGGAGGGAGGGATAGAGGGAGGAGGGAGGGAAGGAAGGAGGTAATGTAATGCTCTGCTGAAAAAAAATTATGAAGCTGCATCTGGGCTCAGGAGGAAGAAGAATCTCAATTTATTATAACATCTGCTATGGTTTCTGTAGACATAAACCATTACTATTGAACTACTGATACAGTTAACACCTTATTCTCCTTCCAAATTATGTTTTCTTACATATCTGTAATACTCACAAATGAGCACCTCTGGGTACTTTATGTACTAATAAAGTTCCATATTTCTATGGTAATTGATGTAATTTCATTGAATGTATATGAAGAAATAGGAATAATTATATTAAAAGGAGAAAGAGTAAAGTCTAGGGGCCTAAGTGAAATGGGTAGAGACATCAGGCAACTAAAGAGATAGAGGTAGAGATATCACTTTACCTATATAATTTTCCAAATACATTATTTTATTCCCCTGGACAGACACACACATGAATGGACACTAATACATGCAAAATATATTTCAGAAGAAATATATACTTTGGGTCAGATTAATGTGTGCACTGAAAATGGGCTGCTTTAAAATGTTGTGCTCATGGAGTGCACAACTAGGAAAATTGAAAATACTAAAGCATTTTTAAACTGAATGTATGTGCTTTCTGTGAACTCTCTTTACCTATAAGTTTCCTACCTGTCTATGACATAAAATGACAGATACAGTTGTTTGTGATCAATGAAGCACTTCAGTTTTATAAATACATGAAAATATCTCATCTCCAAAAAGTCAGATCATCTTTTTTTATAGTCCTTTCAGTTTCTGTGTTTTCTTTATTTTCCTGGACTCTGGGCACAGAAATGTAAGTAAGTTTCTGTATGTAGCCCAGACCTTATTTCTTATGTATCCAACTCCTAAGACAGCATTTGTTCCTGGTTCTTAATTTTATATGTCAATTTTATACTTAAACTAAGTTTGGTTTATTTACATAGATTTTCTATTTATTTGGTTTTTATACAGCTAGATGAAAATTTCAGACACCATTGGTTTCACAAAAACTTGAATTATCATTTTGATAATTCAGCATCCAACACAGAAAAGTTCGGGCTGTGAGAAAAAAAGTAAGAAAAGATAGACAATTATGGCCAGTGAAGTCATTGGTCATGTGGGAAAGAATCTCTTAAAGAGGTGGAGGTTTGCCTATTGATGTTGTTTACTGAGTATTGACATAATCAGGGGGTGTCTGTTTCTGGTAGGAAGTGCTCTGTGTGTGGAAGATAAACAGACTTCATCCTACTTTAGAGCTCCAAAAAGATAAATAAAAAATGAAGACATGAAAATGTAGGTTGCTAGCTATTCATGCATGATAAAGAGAGTGGAAGAGAGAGATGACTTGAATGAAGCAGGCTATCATGAAACCCAGAAAGAACAGGAGAATAGTAAGAAACAGAGAGAGAGAGAGAGAGAGAGAGAGAGAGAGAGAGAGAGAGAGAGACTGTCATGCTTTTAGACTTCTTCAGTGTTATTTTCTTTATAAAAGTATGGCTCATCTGGCATTGGCGTTGTCTATGGTCATTATTAAAATTCATATTTTTGGTACCAAGCCAAGTCATACTGGATCAGAACAACTATGATTTAATTTATGCTATCTACAAACTGATCCTTAGATGATCCTTAGAATCTGAGAATTATAGTAACTTTATTAACTTCTTAATGACGGTGAATTTGTAACATGTGCCAAGTTAAATTGAGGCATGAGCCTATATTTTGTTTACTTGTAGTGTCACTGTAGTTATTACAAGTTAATTATTTTCATTGTTTTAAATGTCTGCATTTGAAGAACACCTTGGTACACTGTAATACAGGCATGCATCAGCTACCAACTTAACATTATTGGTCATGATCCTGAAGTCCAAACTCTTTATCACATTTGCAAGAAAACTAGTTAAAGAAACTGTGGTTCCCTGTCACCTTGCTGGGAAATCCAGCTCTAGATTAAAAGATACACAGGGAAATGTGATAAGAGTATGCTTACCCTCACTTTTGTTATGGAGCTCACGGCAGAGTTTTTCAGCCACATGCTGCAGAGTTTCTGCAAGCTTCCTGTTCTGGACTTGGAGAGACTGCAGCTGTAGAGAGAGATTCCCCAACATTTCTTCCTTCTGAGAGATGTTGTCTTGCTGAGTATTGGAGAGCTGGTAGAACTGAAAAACTAATCCAAGTGACCAAGTCAGACAGGAGTTTTTTTCTTTATTTCTATCACTTACAGGAAATACAAAAAAAAAAAAGAAAAAAAGATATTGTTTAAGATGTCAGACTGTGAGTCCTCACATTGATATATTCACGTTTGGACTTGGATGTGAGGGTGATCTGGCTGTGACATCTGTCCCTCCATTGATCTCCAGGGTTGATTCCACTAATCTCACTGGCTAGTTGGGTGTCCCTTCCTCCCTCACCACTCCATGTGTATCCCTTTGGAAGCTGTGAGCCCTGGGTAAAAGAGGACAACCTTCCCCTATACAGGACTCTTCTTCCCATTCTTGGTACTCAATTAAGCTGTGCTTTGCTCCAAACAAGCTCTCAAGTTTAGGCTTCATTACACACATGATAAATTGTGTTACCTCAGGCAAATTAATTTCTCTCAGTCTGTCTGAAAATATGGAGCCAAAATAGCAGTTCCTAACTTCTGAAGTAAATTCTCAAACTGCTCAACAAATACTGATGGGAGTGTTTATGTTTCTTTTGTTTGTTTCAGTGGGACTGGAATTTTTGAACTCAGGACTTCATGCTTGCAAATCAGGTGATCTGCACTTGAGCCACATCTCCAGTCCATTTTGCTCTGGTTATTTTGGAGATGAGGATCTTCTGAAGTATTTTGCCGAGGCTGTCCTCAAACTGTGATCCTCCTGATTTCAGTCTCTCAAGTATCACAGCTGTAAGCCTTTAAAATACTTTTATACACACTCAAACTATTACTTAATCTAAAACCATAAATCTATCTCTCTATTGATCACTATATTCAGTATTGGAAATACGCCGGATATTGTTGCTCATTCAATTATGACTTCCATGCTTTCATGGATGTGCAACTGTGATCAGTAAGAACAAGCAACTTCCTTAATGTCACTTAACTAGAAAATTTCAATAAAGCTTTGAATTTTAGTTTTCTAAATCTAGTGAAATCCCTCCTGAGTCATCAGAGTTGCTTAGATTCTTAAGAAGAATGGTGATTGCAAAGCAGTAGTTATGTCAAAAAGAAATGAAAATTTAGAAGTTGGAAGAAACCATCTTCATTTTTAAATTAATTTCATAAGTTTTAACATTTCCTATAAAAACCCCATTCCTGACATAAAAATCTGCTCTTCTATGTTATCTTTTGCCTTGAATCACTTTCTTTAACTGTTTAGGAAATATGACTAGCTGTAAGGTCTTAACCTAATGAGGCAAATTTACCCATTTCTACTTTAAAATTTAAAGACTTTTAGGCTGGGGCATGACTCAACCTATCTAGGTATAGTGCCTATCTAGCAAGCATGATGTCCTGAGTTCAAACCTCAGTACTGCCAAAAGAAATGGAAGAAAGGAAGGAAGGAAGGAAGGAACACATAAGACTTTTGTGCAGGCATTCTACCTTTTCTGACAAGTTTTTGCAAAGTGGCTATAATTTCCAAGGCTTTTTGACAAATATCAATTATTAAGTACCTTATCTACTTTCCTTGTATTAGTATAAGCATAGAGATAAAACTCTCTTCCTCTTGCACTAGCTCATTGGGTCATGCAGAGTAAGAGCAGAAATTACTGCTGCTCTACACTTGTGGTATCTGAAAGGGATGAAGCCTGTATGTCTTAATAAATGATGGTTTTAAATATGAATACTTAGACAAAATCCTTCTACTCTCAAACAAGTGTTTAATTCTAGTTGGCAAGTGATGATTTTATTTTAATACTTCTATGACTTGTCATTTCTACAGTGGCTTTTGGAAGGAGGAACACTGAATTAGCCCCACACTCCAGAATTAAAGTAGAAAAATCCATAACAATGTTTTCTCCTCCTAGACTGACCTTAGAGACAGAATTATCCCCAAGGCAGAGCCCAGACTTACACACAAGGCCCAGGGCTGTCAGTCCAATCAGCAGCATCACACACAAAGTCAGCAGTGTCAGGGCCACTGGGCGCCATGCTGAAGAGGGGGTTCCATGCTCTGCAGGGAACAAAGAGAAAGCAAGCCTTGATTTTTTCCTCCTCTTGGATCTAAGCCAGCAGTCAGAAAATGCAAGGAGCTGGTTCTGGACAGGACAAATATGTAGAACAAAGGTAGTCAGAGCTAGGTAACTTACCCTTTGTCCTCTTTGGTCACAAGGTCCAAAGAAGTCCCACCTACCATAGTTAGATTCCTTCACAAATCCCACCTCTTTCTACCCTTTCCCCGGGTCCTACTTGCATTGAATCACAGATGCATTACCACATTTTTATATGGCTGTCTTTATAACCTTCTGCTTGTCAAAATTCTAAAAAGACTCTCCTGGAAATGTCTGACACAGAGTCTGAGACTCCCTGATCCTTGCTAAGGAACTTTTCAACCCATCAGGGAAAATGAAATTAGTTTGTTCTGACTTCTGCAAAACTTGCTCCCCCATGTTCCATTTTAAGTTTCTCCTAAAAAGCAAGGTGTGTTATCTGTAATAAGAAATGATCATTTTATTGTGTGTCATTGGGGTTTCTTTGTTGGAAGCCCCTCTTTTGTAAGAATGTTGTTTATTTACTTATATGATTTATACCTCCCAAAACAGATTATAAAAAACTATGATCATCAACTTCTCAATGAGGGATCAAACTGTTTCAAATTTTGCACCAGTTTAGAAGAAAAGGAAAAGTATATCCAACAACTTTTCCTTGTCTCCACTCCCATAAATTGGACAAATAATTACAAAAGTTTCACTGTAAGTCACAGGGAAAGCCATCACCTGGTGAGGTCCTCTATCTAGGTCTAAATGGTTGCAGTTGTCTGACAAGGATCACTTCCTTCTGGTGCAGGTAGCATCTAACATTATAATTAAAATATAAAACGGGAGAGTGACACTTTCACCCTCTGATCTGAGTAGGGGAATTACAGATATGAATCACCAAGCTCAGCTTTTTTTATTCTTTTTCTGAAATATTCTTCCCTTGCTTAAATGATCTACTCACAGTATTTTCTGTTTTGTCCTTGGTGCAGTCAAGTTTGTCCTGCTTCTGTCTCTGCATCAGTCAGTCCTTAGATTATTTGAAGGCTACTTTCTGCTCTCCTGCTTTCAGTTTAAATGTCACATCCTTGGGAGTAGTCCCTCAGTCCATCCCCAGCATAACACTCACTGTGTTATACATATATGTGTGTTTAATAAACATATCAGGTAACATTTTCATGACTTATGTTTGTTTTAGTCCATCTCCCTCCCCTCATATGCATATTCCATTAAAGAACAATCTTATCTATCTTGTTCACTACTGTACTTCCAGAACTGAACACAGAACCTGTGACATAGGGGCTGAATAAATATTTGAATGTTTAAATAAAGTCAGAATAGAATAGTGAAAAGTTAATATTTCATAAATTATATAAGTTTACAAAGGCAGAGAGGAGTATCTAATGTTAAATTTTGCTGGTTGATTTTCAAAATCTCCTGACTTTTTAGTGATATGTCTATCAGAAGACAAAGTCAGCTTAATACATCATACTGGTTTCTATATGTGAACATGCATCATGAACAAATATGGAAAATTTATTTCCTTCTGTTTCTCCAATTACTGGCCTATGTGATTTAGTCTGCAGTTTTCTGGAAAAGAATGGTTTTCTCTTAAAAGTACTTCAGATCAGCAGAATATAAAAGAGACAGAATATTGGTCAGGTCAAACATCCTCTCTAAAACTTAAATATTTTTAAAGTTCAATATTTGGCAAGAACTTTGATCATGTGGGTGGTCCTAGCTTCCAGAGGGACAAGAACATAGGTGGACCTACCTCCATAGTAGCTTGGATTTTTTTCTCTTACTCATTTCTTTTGGTTTGTGTCTGTCTTACCCCAAGAGAAAGTAAGCTCCTTCTTGGAAAATATTGTCTATTCAGCCACTATTATAGACAAGCAGCTAGTTGAAATGGCCCAAGTAATTTTGAATGAATGAATAAACATGTCTATTCTATGTAAATACCTCTTGCATATTCCTGGCTACCCCTATTTGAACCTATTTATATGAATATAACTCTCAAAGGCATAAAATAAAAAATCTTTTTTCTTTTTGGTGTTAACATTTCCCTGGTCAAAATTAGAAATAAGAAGGTAAAGGAGAAGAACTATGGAAATCAATTAAATTATTTATCACCTTCATTATCTGCTTTCCCTTTCAGAATACTGGGGACAAAAGAACTGTTTGTTTTCTGCCCAAAGAACCAAAAAGAGTGAACTTAAATCCTGACTGTGAAGTGAGAGACTGGACTTTAGATATTAGAACATCATTTAATAGTAATTACATCCATGAAAAGTACATTATATAAAATTTTCTCCTTTTTAGGTGGTATGAATGTTTGAATTCAGGGCTTCTTGCTTGTGAGGCAGGCACTCTACCACTTGGGCCACATCCCAGCTGAATGAACCTTGTTGAAGTTTCATTAAGGAAAAAATGTTTTGCTAAGAATCAAAGTTTTAAAAGGAATCATCTTTTCCTGATCATATTTTTACATTCAGAAATCCTCCTTCTCTCTCTCCCCCTCAACATTCATAAAACCCTCATTTTAATGAAAGGCCCAAAGAAAACCTACCCTAGGCAGTTTCTACCCAAGTTACGGTTATTACCTCAGAAACCAAGCTTCCATCATGGGATGATGGTGAACTTGAAAGTCACTTTTTCTTTGATGTTATTTTCCCTCTAGGTGTTTTTCTTCTAACTGTGAGTCTAATGTTCCTGAATTCTATCCCAAGTATTCCTAATTATGCTGAGGTCTCTCTCTAGGGACCACCCCAGCCTTGAGAGAGAAAGAGAGAGAGAGAGAGAGAGAGAGAGATTTCACAAAAATAAACTAGCTGGAAGTATTTGAGTTTGGCTTGGCATTCTTCTGGTTTTATGTTTTTGGAAGTGAATCCATATGCTGTCTCCTGAAGCATGTTTAAAAAGAGGTGCGGACAGGCCAACGAATTATAAAAACATCCCTATGAGTAATAAGATATATATAGAAAACAAAAACCCCTTTCCTGTATCCATACTATAAAAGGCTACAGTGCCAGGTTCAAGTGTTGAATTCAAAGGTCTTTGTTGTTAGGGGAAATGGTGGATGAAAAGGGTTGTCATACTTGATCAGTCATCTTCATTAGGCATCAAAGAAGAAAACCCTTACCCTCCTCTAAACCCAGGGCCTATAAGAAATTCTACCGACATTACCAAATGTATTCTGAGAATATTCCCCTAAAATGCACAGGGTCTTAGAAACTAGAAAGGAAACAGAGAGTTTAAATAATTCACATAAAGTCATATCCCAAATTTGTGGCAGGGCTAGGATTATTTTGTACTACTTCATACTGCACTTTGTATACTTTCTGGCAAAGCAGGAATCATGGAGAAATGTGGCCAAAATTGGTGGTAATGGACATAATATTTCAAAGAACACTGATCTTTTCAGATCACTGTACATTTAACACTTTTGAAAGATGGAATATTGCTAGTTTATATCTGACTTTTGGATATGTTTTTTAATTTGCGTTGTCTTTTCAGCAATTTCACTTTAATTTCTTAATTCGCACCTATAACACATAGAAGCATTTTGGTGGAAATCGGTTTCCATTCAGTGATTGAGGTCAGTTTTCCATGCTCAGTAAAATTAAGATTTCCTTATGCACCTATTTTAAGTATTTTCTATTTCCATTCTCTCTAAATGTAAATGGGTGCCATCCTTCTTGTTATGTAAAAAGAGTTTACATATAAAACTATATGAATGATTTTCAGAATATCACTGAGGTTCTAATTCTTAATAATTAGAAATTCAATTATATTTTGCATCTTAAGCAAAATTTTACTGTCAATGTTATATATGAATAAATGGGTCTTATTTACTGGAACATAATTTAAAAATATTACTATTAATGAAAGTTGTTACAATTTCCTGAATTACTGACATAAATGACTTACATGAATTACTTTATCTATTCCAACAAATATCCTCTATTATAGGGATTATTATCCCATTTTATAGATTGGAAGCTGAGATCTAGGGGACAGGTTAGACACTATACTCAAGAACACACATCTACCACTAATAATAGTTACTGAACATGTCACATATCATGTTGCATTTCATTGGAAGCTGTCAAAAATTATTCAAGAGGGCAACTATTTTTAACCTTTATTTGGGTAAGAAAATTGAATTACCAATGAGTTGACCTGCAAAAGGTTTACACAGCTAGTAAGCAATGGAGCTTGAAATCCTGCTCCAGCACACAGATTTCAGAGCTGAGAATTCTTAATCATTTTACTATCCTCCCAGTTTTTCACACTAATATTTCTCCTTATATGGCAGTCCCATAAGACAGATCACAGTATTTTAGTGCTTATAACTTCTCACTTCTAAATCATGAAATATCTCAGTTGTGACTACTTAAAGAATAATTCTCCACTTTACCAGCAAGATGGACTTTCTAAAGTTTCGTTAACTTTTTGCCTGGGCTGACCTTGATCCACCATCTTCCCAATCTCTGCCTCCTGAATATCTGGTATGACAGATGTGAGCTTAGAACCATCTCTCTTTAGTCCAAATTTCTTAGCATGCTTTGTTAGGCTCCTCATCCTACCCTTCTTAGCTCCATTTGTCCAAAGCTGTCTGGCCTACTTTTTTCCTTTGAGGATTTATCATCCTTAGCTGAGCAGTCCTCCCTGAACCCTCATGCCAAGCTCTGTCACAGTTTCTAACATTATCCTGAGCAAAAACCTAGCCTAAAAGTAGCACCTCCTCTTTTCCCTCTGAATCCTTGTCTGTCTAAATTTAATTCCTGAATACATTGCCTCCCTGACCTGTGCACCAGGCTCCTTCTTGTCCCTCTACTGCTATCTTCCCATGGTGACATTCAGAATGGAAGTGCTCAATCTTGCATCCAGTGCTCAATCTTGCTTTGCCTGGAAAACCTGGACTGGCTGAGCCTCACAGTCCCAGAGCAACTGCCACCTTCTCTCAGAATGTGAAAAACTAAACACAGCTCAGGCACTCCTGTGTGACTTCTGTGATGTCTGACATATATTCAATAGCTCTAAATGATACTGTATTATAACTATAGATCATATTATTCTTTCTGCTTTCCCAAGCACCTCAAAAACAGGGCCTCCTCAATGCTTATCAGATGTTTAGTATTTAGTGGGTTTGTTTTAAACATTTGTGGAATCAGTGAGATGTGATTATACCATGCCTCTACAAGGATTTGTGTTAGAGTTGAGGAAATGAAACTAAAAAGCTGGAGGAAATGCAATATTTTGTTTGAGATGAGTAGGGAAAAAGTAGGACTTTGATTCATTACTGAATGCATTTTTAAGTGTTTTTAGCTAAAGTACTTTTTCATATTCTTTTGATAAGAGAACTGATTCAGTATTCAGTGGGAATGTTTCTTTTTTCAGTCTCTTACTTTTTTGTATATTTTAATGGGTTTCACCATGATATTTTCATACAGTGTGTAATGTACTTTGATCATATTACCCTTGTAGTACCCTCTCTTATCTTCTCCCCCTCCCCACTGGTCTTCTTCTTCCCAAATAGACCCTCTCTACTTGTTATTATTATATTCCTCATACAATATAAAACATGCTGTATTTGTCTTTCTGAGTCTGCTTATTTCACTTCACATGGTGATTTTCACTCACAGTAGTCAAGCCTTGGAATCCACCTAGATGTCTGTCTATAGAAGAATGGATAAAGAAAATGTGGTTTATATGCACAGTGGAGTTTTATTTACCCATAAAGAACAAAATGTTGTCATTTTCCCAAGGAATCTTCATCTATCATTTCATTCTCTCCTTAACCATGATGATGTGAAGTTATCTTTCTGAAATCTTTTCAGTCTTCACTGGGGTTAGAATTTCTCACACTTTAAAATGTGAATTTAAAAGCAGAGCACCTAGGATTACATCTGTAATTCTAGCTATTTGGGAGATTGAGACCAAGAAGCTCAATTCAAAGCCAGTCTGTGCAAAATAGTTCTCCAGACCACATTTCCAAAATAACCAGAGCAAAATGGACTGGGGTTGTGGCTCAAGTAGAAGAGTGCCTGCTTTGCCAGAGCGAAGCCCTGAGTTCAAACTCCAGTCACACACACAAAAAAATTCTTTGAAAGTGCTCACTCAATCCTGTAATACCTCATCAAAAACATTTTATACTGCTACAAAAGAAAAAGAAGAAAGAAAAAAAGTAGTTTTACTACTTCACCATCAGTTACTTTTCAAAGCACTGCTATCAAAAATAACCAATACTCTATTTTTCTCCTCATTGCTAAAATAATACATTCTGCAAGTTTGCTATTTTTAAAGGTTTTGGTCATTGTCATTAACTTTTGCATTACTTTTGAGTTTATTGTCTCCTGACCTCCTAGTTTTTCCCAGATTCCTACGTTCCTGGCAGCTCTCATCGGAATCTCACTTTTCTGCCCCTCAGGAGTTCCCCAGGTTTCTCTCCTTGGTGGTCTGTTCTCTTGCTCTCTTCTCTTTTCACTTTACCATCCAACCCTCAATGATCTCACTCACTTCTGTAAATTTCTATTACTATTTTGTTAATTACTTAAATACTTTTGTATTTTTTTATTTTATTTTATTCAGCATTTCAATACTTTACCTGCGTATATGTAGCTCTGAATTCTTACCCTGAAGCCACATCCTTCAAATAAAAGTGTTGTTGGGTAATTCCAAGCACATACCTCTCCTCCTACCAGCACCTCAAACTCTGTCCTTCCTGCAGTTTCTGTCTCAGCTAATGGCAGCATCATCCACATCTGACAGAACTCACTCAACCCACAACTCATGTCCCTTTGTTTTCTCACATGTAACTAAACTCAATTCTTTTTTAAAATTTTTATTGTTTTTAATTGTTGTGCTGGGGGTGCATTGTAGCATTTATGAATGTTCTTATAAGTATGTCATACTTGAATTCACCTCCCCTCCTTCCATTCCGGAATAGTTTCAACAAGTCTCAATTTTCCATTGACATACACATCAACCTCAATTCTTTAAGCTCTTTCTCCTCTATGCCTCTCATGTCTGATTTCTCTTCCCCCTTCTTACTATGCTGCAGCAGTTTAGGATTTTCATCTTGTGCTTGGACTAGTGAAAACACTGGGTGTTGGATCGTCAGTTCTAAACTCCTTGTGTCTATCCTTCCATTTGAAGCTTAGATGATCAAAGTAAAAACACATAATTTAAATCCTTCTTTGGTCTCATTTTAACCACTGAATAGAACTAAAACATCTCAGTATGGCCTAAAAGACTCTGCTTAACTTTCCAGACCTTCCTCTTGCTATACCCCCTCCTCCAGCTCTACACCTCAGACATAATGTACAGTCTCCAAAAATTCAAAGTTACTTAAATTCTCTCTGGCTTTCCTGGCTTTTGTCTCTCTCCCTGGGGTGGCCCCAGTCTCAAATATCCCTGCTCTTGAATCCATATCATATGGAACATCTTAAAATCACCCTAAAGTGATGGACACTTCTTCTAAGTCTTTCCTGGTCTCTTCTACGGCCACTAGATAGAAATGGCCGAACTCTCACCTGTCACATTACATGTTCCCACTATAGTGTACTAGTAACTTAGAGCTGAGTTGAGAATGGCATAAGACTTTAAGCTTCCTCAGAAGCTTGGGTAATGTCATATTTTACATTATATCCTCAGTTTTTTGCAACAGGCTTGATATAGGAGGACCCCAAACATAAGTTTGTAGAAAGCATGTGTGAGAGTTTTTCTTTCTTTTTTGCTTTCTCTCTTCTCAACTGGCATTATTACTATGTTCAGAAAATTTGGAAAATGTATGATTTCTTTAACTTTTGATAATTCTAAAGAAAAAAGTAAAAATTGCATATTCATAATTTTGCCACAGTTTTATGTTGAATTTGAATCCTCTGCATTACCAAAATATTATCCAAATAATTTTTGCTGTTATTTTGAACAGCAAAATTATATCAGATATATTTTCCTAAGGAATAATTAGGCTTTTAAGAGCAGCATTCCTGTAACTATTGAATTATTATAAGAAGATGGAAACAAGATATCATAGGTGTGGGCAAGGGCAACTATTTCCAGATGTTTGCCTCCAAGACACTGTTTATAACTTCCACTCCTACTGTTCCAATTTCCATTTCTTACAAAGGGCTTGCCAAAACATTGCTGTGTTTTATCCTGCCCCCACCTCCCTCTCCACCCTTCAACCTTGACAGAACTTATTTGAACACACTGTTCCCATTTATGTAGTCATTAATCCTTCTCAAGTCAAAGGTGAAAAGTGAAGTTATACACAGACCACTCAAAAACATGGGCTTAAGAGCTGATTCTTTGTAAGATTTGCCGGAGGAAGAAAGCATTTCATCTCCTATTACACATATCCTGTGGCTGCAGAAACTGACATCTCTCCTGTTGCCTCTTAACTTCAGGTCAAGGAAGCTGGAAATCCCCTAACAGCTTACTGGATAGTTTAGTTGAAAAACAAAAAGCTAGGTCTCAGGTTGGATCATTTATGAACAGAAAGTGAATGTAAAGGTTAAATGGAGGAAAATTAAAAAAAAAAAAAACTAAAAGTTATTTGAAAAAGGAAAATGGAAGGGAGCAATGAAAAACTGTGCATCCTGATTTACAGAGGTGAAGAAAGTCTGGATATGGTCAGACAGGGAAGCACGTGTTAAGATACAGGTACCAGTTTCTCTGATGGAGACTGTCACAAAAAAAGTTCAACAGAACACATTAGGAAGTCTCAAGGAATGGAATGCTGAAAGGAAACTTACATTTTTGGAGCACCTATGATATACCAAGTGCTTTGCATTGTTTACTAGTTCTTAACACTCATAGCCACCTCATAAGGAGGCTTTTGTTATTTAATATTTGTTTAAGTTAATATGAATTGATGTATACAAAGTGCTTAAAGCAATGCCAGGTACAACATTAGCACTGAATACATGTCTACTATCATTAATGTTTTATAAATAATGAACCTGAGCTCCCAGAATACTTAAGCAACTTGTACAAGGTCACTCAGATGGTAAGTGGCATACCTGGCAATTGAATCTAGAACCTGGTCTTATCTATTCCACCATGTGAGGCCTTTGCACTAGAAGAACTAAGTCATACTTCTGGTTTTGACTGGCTCAGTGGCCAAGGAGGTAAGCCCCTTCTCTACGTGTGTGAATTATGGAAATGAATGAAACTGGGGAAAAAAAATGCATTACTATTACTACTACATCATAGGATGAATAATTATAAACAGAATGATAAGGTGGAAGCTAATGCAACTAAATTAAATATTTTCTTAACCTGATTTGATCTGCTCAACAATATTCTCAGATCAATAGAGCAAAATGGAATAGGAATTGGGTACAACTGAACCTGAGGCTTCAATTTAGATTACTGAACCACAGAATTTCAGTGCTAAAGGGACACATTAGGCAGCATTTGATTTAATCAGCCTTCATTTCACTCCTAATGTTAACATGACTTGCCCAAGGGCTTACAGCTTCAAGATGCAGAATCATTAAAACAAAATATCAAGGTTAATTGGTCCACTTAGAAATCTCCCTCTTAACACATGTTCAAACATAGAAAAAGGTAGCTCTCATTAATCTAAATTTCCAAATCAGAACATAGATGACCAATCAAAACAACAACAAACTTGATTTGGTCTTCAGGGGAAGAGTGGAAAGGATAGGGACATTGCTTTACCGTACATACAATTTCAACTTCATATGCTATTCCTATTCAGAAAAGGCCATACACATTCACTTCAAACTACGATGCTAGCAATAGAATTTCAAAAAAGCAGGCACCTAAGGATATACTAAGCTTACATGTTTGTATCTGTGGGACGTAAATTGAGGAAATTACAAACGATGAAAAGATTCCCTGCACTTTGCTTAGCTCAGGACAGGTGTCTGTTCTCCCGCCTTTCTCAAGGGCTCTGGTCCACTGGGCCTCCAGGAGACAAGAGTACCTGTGTGCCAGTGCTCTCGCTGCCGGGTGGTGGACAAGGATAGAGAATTCAGGCTCATGGAGGTGTCCCCATCATCATTCAGCATGTCCCTTGAGCTGCTGTACTTGGCCTGCATCCTGGTCCCTGAAGGGCTGAGGGTAAGATGTGGTCAGATTGCCCCCAAGCTGCCTGACTACAGAGAGATAGGTCAGGAAGTAGGCGCTGAAAGCATTCCTAATGTCCTCTCAGCAAACAGCAGGGGAAACCTCTGACTCCAGTTCCTGCCTGGAGCAGCCCAGCCCCTCCCCAGTGAGCTTGTACTCTGAATGCCAAGTTGGTCAGGCTGGGAAAATAGCATGTGTTTTCTGTCTGGGTGGACCCCAAACAGTTATTGAACCAATTGCCCTTCTCAGACCTCTCTTGTTAACCTGCTTGCACATCTTACAAAACTGCAGTGTAAAGATAGCAAGACCTTGCAATAGCACCAGTGGGACCTTCAGACCCTAAGGAATGATAATCAGAAAGGGGAAACATAAAACCTGGTTTCTTACCATCCTACATGCACTGAGTCACTTAGGTTAAGAGGAACCACCTGTGCCTTTGCGGAAAGAGCTGAGACTAGGACCTAGTCTCTTCATGTCTCCGAGGGCAGAGTGCACAGTACCAATACAGGAATGTCAGCATAAGAGACCTCTTCAGGCATCCAACTGATTCTATAATTTTTCACAAAGGGAAATTGAAATCTACCTAGGTGAAGTGATTTGTTCAAAGTAAAGTAACTCTGGCTAGGGATAGAGTTAGTTTTAAAAAGCTCTCCTATGGTCAACTCAATGGTCTTTGCACTACTTGAGCCACATGCCCAGTCTGCTTTTTAGTTTGTTTTTCCATAGAGTCTTGTGTTTTTTTGCATGGGGCTGATCTTAGACCATGATCCTCCTACCTCTGCCTCCCAAGTATCTGAAATTGCAGGTATGTAACACCATACCTGGCCTAAATTTCTTAAACTAAGAAAGAAAATAAGAAGTGTGTAATGTGCAAAAATTCTTACTGAATCAGTACAGTATAATTTTATTACTTACCAATCTGTTTGTGTTGCAACAGCAGAATACCTGAGATTGGGTAATCTGTAAACAAGAAAAATTTGTTTCTCATAGTTCTGGAGGCTGGGAAGTCTGGTATCAAGATGCTGGCAGATTCAGTCATCTGATGAGGGCTGTATCCCCTGGAGGGGAGGAATGCTGTATCACCACATGGCAGAAAGTAGATCTCAACCAGCTAAACTTAATATATAATATTATCTGAAATATTACATGAACACTACATAATATTACTCCACCAAGATTTCCTAGATAAGTGATTGCTGGGATAAATCAAGTATGCTAAATATAAAAAAGTATGTACATTGCTTGAGTTGGGGTAGCCAGAACACATAGAGTTCTATCAGGAAGTATATGTTGTGAATTCATAAGTGTTTGAAGCTGTGTATTGTTCATCGGATTATTCTAAATTAAAAAAAAATAAAGAGACCTTTTCATTAAATTACTTATAAAAGTAGAAAATCAAAAATTATTTATCTATTTTCATTGGATAATATTAGAGAGTGATATAGAAGATGAGAAGGCAATAATAATTTTGATGATCATGGTAAGTAAAGCAAATGTGAGAATGAAATATTAAGAAAGATGGAATGTTCAAAATTACAACAGTTGGACCCAGAAAAAAATGTGTATGAAGATGTCCTTAATTGTAGTGAAATAGCAATTAGAATTATTTCCCAAGCTTTGTTTATTCAAATAAATCCTCAATAATTTTTGACAAGCAATCTTCGCTAACATTTATATCACATTTTCTTAAATTCTTATTATTTCAAGAAAACAGAAATATTTGTCGAACATCTGCTATATAGTACATACTATTTTCAGATTCATGGATACATTGATGGAAAGCAAAACTTTCTGTTCTTATAGAGACTGTGTCCCTTAGAGAAGGACAGATGATATACAAAAATGATCTGTAAGTAAACAGCAAACTATATTATACTACAATAAAATTTGAGCAAATATATAGAGAGTAATGGACATCAAGAACACAAAGGAAGGAGGGTTGGTAATTTTAAATAAAGTATGAATAGTAAGCCTCATATATTCAGATGGTGATATTTTATACAAACTTGGAGGAAGTGAGACAATAGGTCCCACATCTATCTTGCTAAGAATCATTCAGTAAGAAAACAATCACAAAGACCTTGAGAGGAAAGCATGTCTGGTATGACTGAGAAACCTCAGGGAAGCCAGCATTCTGAGTGGAACAAGAAAAAAGAAGAGAAGTCAGAGATTGCTCTAAGAGGCTAAAGGGGCTAGACCTAAGTTCTTGTAAACAATTATAAAGGTATTTATTTTGTTTTGTTTTCTTATCTTAAATACACAAGTTGGTGAGCATGTTAGGTAGAGAACTGACATGATTTCAATTTAACATATTCACTGCTGTGTTTGAAAATGGATGTGGTGAGAGCACCTGTCTAGCAAGTGTGAAACCCTGAGTTCAAACCCCAGTACCACCAAGAGAAAAAGCAGAAAATGGACTGCAGAGAGACAAGGCTGAAGACAGAGACTGTTTTAGAAATTATTGCTGTTACCCAGGCAAGCAAGGATGGTAGTCCTCTAGTAGGTGTTTCCTCTAACATAACTTCTACTCATCTTGAATTTACCCTTTAATTTAGGTTCAGCTAACACCAATTACTCCTTCTCTGTCTCATGGAAGAATGTGGATGTTTCCTGGTCATTCACATGCATGTTTCCGTGTAAGCTGACATATAATTTGTATATTGGCAGTTTGGAAATAGGCTGTGGACTACCTGGAGCACCTTGCTTTATCCCATCACTTTTGTCATCCTCAAGATTTTACCTCTGAGTTATGAGTAATTGAGTCCCAGCCTGTCTGTTCTGGGAAAACACAGTTTAATTTTCAGCATTGAAAATTATTTTCCTTGATTATATGATTTCTTGAGGTCTTCAGTTCATCCTGGAGATCAAGGAGTAAACAATCAAACTGAAATTAAAATACTTTGCAAAATCACATCCCATGCTTTAATTAACTACTTTAATTAGTTAATCTAATCATATTCTGCTCTCTCCATATCTTTTTGAGATAGTGACAACACAAATTTTAAATTAAAAACAACAGTAGGGTGGATGCCAGTGGTTCATGACTATAATCGTAGCTCCTCGGGATGCTGAGATTGGGGAGATCATGGTTCAAAGTCAGCCTGGGAAAATAGATCACAAGACCCCATCTCCAAAATAACCAGAACAAAATGGACTGGAGGCATGCTCAAGTGCTAGAACACCTGCTTTCAAAGCATGAAGCCCTGAGTTCAAACCACAGTCCCACCAAAATAAATAAATTTTTAAAAAGACAGTAAACTTCATAAAAGTCTCTTTTTCTCTTAATCTAAGGGGCAGATTGTTACAGTGATTGTTACACACAGGCATATGAGTTACAGGTGAAATTTCATTGATAAACAGTTTGGTAATTAAGGCATAACCCAAATTAACTGCCTTCAAGTGAATAATTCAGTGAATTTAGCACAATTTCTGAATATGTATTAATCAACATGAGAAATCTACAAATGCCTCTCCAATAATATAGAAATCCCAACTAGAAATATAAGTAGCTCCACTGAGAAAGTTTAAAATTAGATGAATCTTCACGTGAGGAAATAGAGCTACATTCTAATGATACCTTTTTTACAGAAATTACTAAAGAAACATAGAAAATTGCAAAATAGTACATCATAAAAATAATAAAACATGTTTTACTCCAAAATATTAATACTTCTAGCCAATGAATCTTGTTATTTTTTATATGCATTATCAGATCTCATTTTTTAACATTTTTTTATTATTTATTTATTCACATGTACATACATTGTTTGGGTCATTTCTCTCCCCTGCCCTCTCTCCTCCATCCTCTCCCCCCTTCCCCCTTTGCTTCCAGGCAGAACCTGTTCTGCCCTTATCTCTAATTTTGTTGAAGAGTAGACATAAGCATAATAAGAAAGACAAAGTGTTTTTGCTAGTTGAGTTAAGGACAGCTATACTGAGAGATTCCTAGCATTGCTTCCATGTACAAATGTGTTACAACCCAAGCTAATTCATCTGTAACTGATCTGTACACTGGTTCTTGATCCCCTTCTCGTGTCGACCTCTGTAGCTTTAAGGTTTCTGTGTTAATTCCTCTGGAATGGGGACTTCATACGCTTTCATGTTTTGGGTTTTCTACCTATCATGATACCACCTGTATGTGCTCTCCCCTTGTCATGTGACCCAAATCCAACCACATTGCTGTATTTGCTCTAGATCTAAAGACTGCATATGAGGGAGAACATACAATTTTTGGTCTTCTGAGCCTGGCTAATCTTGCTCGGGATGATGTTTTCCAGTTCCATCCATTTACTTGAGAATGATAAAATTGAATTTTTCTTCATGGCTGAGTAAAATTCCATTGTGTATAAATACCACATTTTCTTGATCCATTCGTCAGTAGTGGGGCATCTTGGTTTTTTCCAAAGGAGAATGTTTCCCATGAGGGCAACTTTCCTATTTTCACATTGTACAAGATTTTATTAGTCACAGGCGGGTAGAGATACGCCTGGTTATTTAGTTGAGGCAAAAAAGTTGGAGTTGCTGCTTCTCGATGCTGACAATCACAGTCGTGGTCATATTATAGAAATAATAACTGATTGTAGTGAAGTTTTTTCCTTTTCTTCATTTAAAAATTCAGAAGTATAATTTGTCTTCTATCTATGTCAGATGTACGTTAGAAGTTGAGGAACAAGTCATACAAGCACAGTGTATGCTCCAGTGGCAAATTTTCAAAGTTTTAAAAAACAGCTCTGCTTGAGCTAGAAATTAAGATTCCCTTGAAGCACTAAAGACTTGTGGCTTCTCCCCAGTAAATCCTAAATCAATAGTAGAATAAAAATGAAAGCTTATCCTCCCTGACTCCATGTCCAGGGCTCTATTAGCTACAACTTGATATTGACCTCCTTATGGAGTTGTCAAGTACAGAAATCACAACCTCACCAATTTCTCAGCTAAGATTGAAGTTTACCAAACTCTCATCATTTTTAGCATTTACTTTGACCTCAGATATTACTGTTTTTTTTTCTGTTTTTTGCCATTCTTACAGTCTTACATACTTATCTCTTCTTTCTTATATTTGCAATTTCTTCTCACAGATACTGTATGAGGAAACAGTACAGGTTTGGTCATAAACGTTTGACTGATGAACCCATACGCAATTATGGGAGGAATCTCCCTCAGTGGTTGTGCTTCTGATTGGAAACCTGTTAAAATGAAACACCATGAGGTAATTAGAATACTCTTTACATGAAAGATATTAGTGGAAAGATCTCTGGAGTATATGTTTTTGGAAAAGGAACTTTGATTTTAGACTGTATTAATTGTGAAGTGATATTAGAATTCTTTTCCTAATTAAGGAAAAAAAACACATTCAAAAAATACTATTCATTATATAAAATTAAATTAAAGAAGAAAACCCATTGAGTATTCTAAAGAAAGTTGTTTACTCATCCTTCATCTATTACCTAGTGTTTATTTATCAAATTGCAACAGTTTGGTACAATTACCATTGGGTATATTTAGTGAGTATATCCAACAGAAAGAGGAGTTTAACGCTGCTGGCAAGCTAAAACTAAGTGAAGAATCAGAGCTGTCAAGACCATTTCAAGGCAAGAAGATAATCTTATGACTTTTAATGTATCCTGAAGCAAATTATATTACAATACAATGACTGAAAGTTATGATAATTACCATGGATGAATAGAAGCATGACACTGTTCTATTTGCTCCTCAGTCTCTTGAAGGAGCAATGTCAATTAGCCAAACTAAAAGAACATCACTGAGCCTCAGTGCAAAAGTTATAATCTAGTTTCTGTGGGTGGGAAATAACTGACCAAAGATGCTATAAAATCTGCTGGCTGTCAGTCAGATTGCTCAAAGGAACATGAGCACTGCTTTATAGAGACATTTTGAAAATAAATTCTGGAGAAACAAAAGCTATTTGGTGAGGATAATGGAATTCTGGTGAAGTAAGCAATGGGGTTTCTGATGCCCTCCTGCATAAAGCCACCATGGGTCTTAGAGTTGGTGGAGTAACATACGCCATATATCAGTTGGCTATGGCTTCATTTCCCTAGAAGCAGAATTATTTGTAATCATCCTAGCAATCTCTTGGTTCACTTTCATTCAGCTCTTTATGGACCAGTAATCTGATGAATAACTGAGCACTGCTTTTGGGATCAGTATTTATTGACTTGTTATAATGGCCACCAATAAAGAGGTTTTTATGTGAGAAAAGGAAATAAAATTATGAGCTGGTAGTCTTCACCTTGGATATCTGATTTTTCTTGAGGTTGAAAGATTGAGAGAATCTGCCCCAGAAATAACTTAGGTTAAGATCAAGTACTTTGACTCCGGACTCAATGTTTTCCAAAAACTTTCTCTGACATTCAGGTATTTGGGGATATGGGTCATGTCTACATTGAGTTATCACCACCAGAAAAAGAAGGAGTAGTAACATACAGAATATTAATTTAAGCCAAGTGGTTATTATATGACGAATCCACTAATTGTATTTTTAAAATAGCAAAAGAAACTCAAGACAAGAAAATACTATAGAAAAGTAGGAAATGTATTCTGTAGGTTGCTAACAAATTCACTGCACTTGAGTTAGTAGAAGTAAAGTAAGGTGGTGCTAAATTCAAAATATGATCACACTCAGTGGTTTGTACTTTTCACACTCAATGGGGCCTGCCAGAAGCGAATGAAAAGACAGTCTATGATCTTCAAATTAATACTACAAACATTTTAAGATACAATGTTAAACACATATCAAAAGAAAACTCAGGTCTGGAGCCTTGACTCAAGCAATAAAGTACCTGCTAACCAAGTATGAAGCCCTGAGTTCAAACCCAAGCACTGCCAAATTAATAATAACAGCAATAATTATAATCAGGCATATAAAACACAAGAGAACATGAAAGAAGCACAGAAGAAAAATGTAACAGACACAATTATCTGATAACAGTTATTAAGACAACCATATTGAGTACATGCTAGAACTTAAATGACAATCTTGAAAATGTTGAAAGAAAAATAGGAATTATACACTGGTAATAGGGTAGATTTAAAGAAAAAACACACTAAAATTATAGAACTGAAAATTTCACTAAACTAAATTAAAAATGAGGCTTTTGACAGCAAATTACCACAGGAAAGACAGATGAACTGAAAAGTACATGAAATATAAATTTAAAAATCAGAAGAGAAAATAGAATAAAAATATAAGAAAAAGCAAAACAAACATGGGATTTTGCAAATGAATCCATAATGAGTGTAACTAGGATCCCAAGAGAAAAATTGGGAAAAAGCAAAATTTTGACAGGAGAGCTAAGAATATTCTGAAGCTGAATAAAGGTATATATATTACATTCAAATGAGTATCTTTGAAAACCAACATTAAAATCCCAAAGCAGTGAAACAATGTCTTTGAAAGTCTGAGAGATTAATCTACAAACCCAGCAAAAGTATTTTTTAGTAAACTCAAAATGACAGTTTTGGACAAACATATAGCATATAATTCTAATACACTTATCCTAGAAGAAATATTAAAGAGTATTATTCAAGATTAAGAAAAAAGACTCAAAATCTAAAGAAAAAAAGCAAAAAAACCCAATAAAAACCAAAAGTCACATTTAGAAAGGTGAATAAATCTAAATGAACACTTACTGCAAAAATCTATATATACATGGTGGTTTTTATGCTTGTTATTAGAGTACTGGAGTTTGAACTCAGGGCTTAGAACAGACACTATGCCATGTCCCCCCAACCCTTTTTTGCTTCAGGTATTTTTGGAATAGTGTCTTGAATTTATTCCCATGCAGGCCTGGACTGTAACCCTCCTATTTACACCTCCCATATAGCTTAGATGACAGGCTTGTGCCTCCACACGCAGCTTTTGTTGGTTGAGATGGAGTCTCATGAAATTTTGGCCCAGGTTGAATTGTGGCTGAAGGCCAATTCAGACAAAAGTTAGTGAGACCTTTTCTCAAAAACAAGCCAGATATGGTGATACTTGCCTATAATCCCAGCTACTCTGGATGCAAAAGTAAGAGGATTGTGGTCTGAGGCCTACCGGGGTGCCATAACTTACCTGAAAAATCAAACTCAAAGCAAAAAAGACTAGGATGTAACTCAAGTAGTAGAGTACTTTGCTAGTAAGGACAAGGCCCTGAGTTCAATACAGAGTATTAACAAAATAAAATAATATAAATAAAATAAAATTTGAATAAAGAGATGCCAGCATTAAATTACTTAAATATAAGAACAAACAGGGGAGGCAATAAATGAATAAAGAATATTCTAACTCTTTTTATTGATCAGAAAGAACATAAAACATCCAGTTAATACTGAGCTTTGATGAGTGAAGGATAAATATTAAAATCTCTAAAGAGGCTCCTAAAAAATTAGCAAAATAGTAAATTCCAAACTATAGAAGAAAATACAATTAAATTAAAAACATTAAATCATCACAAAAGGAGGAAAAAAGGGAAGAAAAGTAACATTGACTGGGAAGACAACAATGCTCATCCATGCTCACCTAATAATATAGCTTCAATGTGTCAATATGTTTACAGAACCATTAGTAGGATCACTATGGACAATTTTAATACAATTCTCTTGGTAAGTGAAGAACAAACATACAGAAACAAGGGGATTGCCATTACATAAAGTACATTCTCTGATCATAGTGGGACTAAGTCCAGAGCCTAAAACAAAGAGATAACAAGAAACACACACGTTTATAAATAAGAAATATATTTATAAGTAAATCAAAAAGTGACCACAGTGTAATCAGAAAGCATTTTCTACTGAATTACTATGAATATGAATATTACTATGAAGAGTATGTAGTCTTAACTGCACATCCTTGAGGAAAAGAAAGGGTGAACTTCATGAGTTTTGCATCTAATACAAGAAGTTAGAGAAAGAGCAGCTATCTGAACACAAAGAAATTTGATGGAAGAAAGTGATAAAAATGAGACTCAAAACTAAGAAAAAGTGATGAGAGAAAAAAATCGCCAAAGTTGTTTTCTGTAAATATTAACTAAATTGAACCATGCAGCTGCAGAGATTGTGAAAAAAAACAGAAATAACTATACATATGCATGCATATACACTTACTATTGAACTTAAAAGGGGAATATACCTTCATACTATATAAATTTTAACAAGAAAATGAATGACAGCTGCAATGAGAAAGACTTCAGTGCACAATGAATTTATAATCATACAAATGTGAAATATGTTCAAAATGAGGTATGTGGTTGCTTTTAATTAACCATATGCTGGACATTGTGCTGATAATTTTACTTTTATACCCATTGTCTCACAATTCTAAGTGGTAGGTATACTTTCTATTGGCATTTGTAGATAAGAAAAGTGGGACTCAGAAAAATAAAA